AGCAGCCAAACAAGTTCTCCCAAAGAAAAATAGTCTCTTGAGGAAATGATGCTGAGAAAGCTACATTCCACATGCACAGACAAAACTAGAAACATATCTATCATTGTGTACTGAATTCAAAATGGAGCAAGTACTTAAATATTAAAACAGAAACATGAAATACACTGGAAGACAAAATTCTTAGAAATCTTGAAGACTTAGATGTAGCAGAAAATTCTTCAACAAAAGCCAGACTACAGCAGAAATATTAGAAAAAAAAAAAACAACTGTCATTTCCCCTTATTCAAAAGCTTTTGAACATCCAAATTAATTGCAAAGACAGTGAAAAGACTACCCTCATTATGGGAAAAATTATAGCCAGCTGTCCCTCAAAGGACTTAGTTCTGAACATGGATGTTCAGACTTGAAGCAATGAGAGCTCCCAAATTCAAAGTTTAATGCTAAAATGAGAAACTCTGATGCATACACACTTCTCACATGAACAAATACAAACAGCAGATAAATATAGGAAAAAAGATTCAATATTATTAGTCATTTCAGAGATGCCCATTAAAAAAAAGTTTACCTTTACACATGTGGGCCATGTGTAAAAATCAGAAATATTCCATGAAAGTATCAGCAGGTAAAGGATGAGGACAGTTGACAGAGACACCCACTCAGAAAAGTTTTGGAATAGTAAGAGCAGTAAGTTAAGACCTACAAAAAAGTTGTGTAAGAAAAGGCTACAATAACATCCAGCGTATTTGACCATAATCCAGTCAGAGTCACAGGAGAGTATAGACAAATGAAGAGAGAAAGCAAAGAATCATGCAGACTTCAAGACAGATGTTAAGTGTGGAAACATTTGAAAGAAAACAACTTTAGTCCATCCAGTGACCAAGAAGTGTATTCCAAGCATTGAAATACTAATGGAGAGAATTAAAGAATGTGTGGTTAACTTTGAGGAATGTGTCTAATTAAATGCCTAGATTAGATCTATCATCACGATGGTATTGACCATAGATAGATAAATAGTAAATACGATGATATTTCTCAAATGAAATAAGGAGGAAGAGATGAAGGGAGGGATGAGAAAGGGTTGTGGAAAACAATATAAACCAATTTAAGATGTAGCTCAGTAGAATAATCTCTTGCTTGGCAAGTGCAAGGGCTGAGTGCAATCCCTGGTTCTGCCATAAATAAATAAATAAATAAATAGGTGCCTATCTTCAGCATAAGGCAAAATAGAACTTTTACAAATGAGAAGGGAAACAAGATTTGAAAGAACCAAGAAGGCAGGGGAGAGTTAGGATCTTAATAAATAATTAAAATATATCATGTACATGTTCCAAGTCCCCACTCTAGTTGACTACATATGTAATCATCATGGCCTACCAAAGGGGAAATTCACATTGTAAATGAAGCCTGCCATGAATGCCTGCCACAGCAGATGGCCATTTCTAGGAGGGCCTAATAACCAGACGTCTTACTTTGCGGAAATCATGCTTGCTTTCTTTCTTTCTTTCTTTCTTTCTTTCTTTCTTTCTTTCTTTCTTTC